ATGGGAACCTAGTGTGGTAGGAGAAAAAGTATCAGGAAGAAAAATACTTAGGCACAGGAATGTGTTACATCATCCTCAGTATTAAGCAGTCAGGAGGGTCGTGTATTGCTCAGAAACCACTGGCTATCAGCAGATGGGATGAAGGCTTGTTTAGTTCACTGCTTTAGTTCAAAATGCACAGCACTGCATGGTGCAAACTTCTGGGTAACACAAGCAATTCCATCCTCCAAAGCTTGTTAAAGAAAGTCTATTGTTTTCCCACCCAGAGAGGATAATAGCAATTAGCCAATTATGTTACTAGACTATAAAATTTCATTACATATCAGCAATGTATCAGTTAAGGTCATCAGTAATGTTCAGTTAGTCTCTAAGTGACCTGAGCTGTTGCAGGGCACTCTGAGTTTCTTTCAAGAAGTTGGCATCTCTGTCTGGGACAATATTAAGTTCATTAATCTTGTTTGTGCAGATCTCTTCCATGGAAAATTAGCAGACAGCTTCATTTTATGCTTTCTGTTTGAATATGTGAGGATTTGACACTTTTAAATGTGCTCCTGATTCAGGCAGCTTGAAGAGGCACCTATTTCCCTTCCTAACTCACCTGTTGTATAAGACTAGGGATGGTGACAAAGAGGAAAGGTACAAAGACTTGGAAGGAAAGAAACAGGAACAGATCCACTAGAGCTGAGAAAGGCATCCTTGGAAGAAAATTTGGGAACTGTGGGAACGGAAAGATGCTCAGGTGGAGATAGTGCATTAGGAACTGAACAGGACAGAAGTCATGAGGAGGAGAGAATTTTGATCATGGGCATATCAGTTCTGGAATATTAGATGGACATATGAGTAGGACAGTGGTGTGACATGAACAAGAAGAGAGGACTGCAGCTGTAGCTGTAGAAAAAGTATACACTGATGTCATCAAAATGAGATTCAGCTCAGTGAAAGCCACACTACATTTTAAAAGCTGAGAGGAAGAAAAGTAAAGGAGATGGTGACAAAGATAAGGAGGTACCAAGGAAACATAAAATCTTATGAAGTCTGTACTGGATTAGACCATATCACCCCATCTAGCTCAAACCTGACAGCTACTGGCAGCAGAGATTTCGTAAAAAGGCGTATAAAAACAGGTTGTGGATAAAACAATGCCTTCTCCCGTATACTTGCCACTACCCAGCAATTAGTAGTTTAGGGGTTTCCTGAGCCAAAGGCTGCATCTGAACACTTTGTATCTGACAAATATGAGTTCTCACAGAAGATTTGAGGATTTGTCTGAATATGAAGGTCTTTTACTTAGAAAATGCTGAGGATGAACAATGACTTCTTTTACACTGTGGTGTGTTTAAAAATGTTACAAAATCAATTTACAAAAAAAAGGAAAATATTATTAAGAAATAAAATTTCAAATTCAATCTCCAACTCATAGCTGTTACATCCTCTTCTTAATTTGCTCTCTTAAGTATTTTCCTTGTAGAAATAGGTGAAATTTTGTAAAAAAGCAGGTTTATGGCTAAGCTTACCAACACTATCGTGGCTTTCAGGGAATAAAGATTAGAAATAAAAATAATTTAAATTGAAATATCCTAGTTCTAGTTGATGCTCTTTCAGGAATGCAAGTGAAAGTAAACTCTTCTTTCAGTGCTGGTTTTCTCAGGACTTGAGGTCAATTCCTGCTTATCGCACTTGTACTAAAAATTCGTAGTGATTTTTAGTGAACTGTCTCCTGAAGGAAGTGAGTAAGGTTTGGTACTTTCAGTACATTTTCTGCTGTATTAATTTATCAGAAATTAAACATTGCAGTTTTATTACGTTGTGCACCCTTGCAGTATCAGATGTCACGGTCAAAACTGGAGGAAAGAAAGCAGCAAGAAAATAAGTCAGCATGATTTTTTTCCAAGAGAAAAGAAAGGAAAAATACTTGTAACAATAAGCAGATGGGGAAAAAAAGTGCAAATCTCTGTTTTGGAAGGGGGTCTGCTTTATGGGATGATAAAGACGTGATATTTTAGAAGTCATGAAGTTGAGAGTCAGGCTTATTAGGTGAAGTACACTAACTCTGGGATGTAAATGGGACGATAACTCAGAACTGTATCTGAAAATACAGGCCTGTTCAAGTATGTACACACTTTTGTAAATGTCCCTTTCACATTCTCAGGCCCTTGATATGCTTACATAATGGCATTACTTGGCACACTGAAACCAGAACTGGCAGTGTCTCTGTGGCAGTCTGATATATGTGTTGACACTGGCTTTTTTTTGCATGAAATGAAACTGTGTGAGGAGCTTAGGAGTGCATGGCAATGTACATCTGTGTGAACGTAGCTTTGAAAGTGGTTATGCTCAGTTGTTCATACTGGTGTTGCAAAGTCCTGAATCTAAGTGGGAACAAACCCATACACCAGGCTTGAGGCCAACCACTGGAAAGGAGCTTTGCAGAAAAGGGCCTGGGGGTTTATGGTGAACACTGAGTTGAGCATGTGCCAGCGCTGTGCCTTGGGGCAAAGAGGGCCAACAGCCTTCTGTGCTGCATTAGGAAATGTTGCCGGCAGGTTGAAGGACTTGATCCTTCTCTTCTACTCAGCGCTGTTGAGGCCATATCTGGAGTACCGTGTCCAGTTCCGGGCTCACTAGTAGAAAAGAGAAAGGGACATACTGGAGCCAATCTAGTCAGTGGCCATGAAGATGATTAAGAGCGTGCAAGCATCTGGCATACAAGGAGAGGCTGACAGACCTAGGATTGTTTAGCTTGGAGAAGAGAAGTCTTGGAAGGGGATTCTTATCAATGTGTGTAAAAAATACCTGATGGGACGGTGCAGAGAAGATATAGCCAGGCTCTTCTCAGTGGTGTCCAGTGGTAGGACAACAAGCACAAAATGAAATATGGAAAATTTGATTTGAACATTTTTAAAACCCCTTTTTTACTGCAGGGTTGGTGGGATATTGGAACAGGTGCCCCAAGAGGTTGTGGAGTCTCCATCCTTGGAGATACTCAGAACTCAATTGGACGTGGACTTTAGTAACTTGCTCTGGCTGGCACTGCTTTGAACAGGAGGGTTGGACTAGATTGGTTCTAGATGTTCCTTCTGGGCTGTTACAAAAGTCACTGTAAGTCTTCTCAGTCAAAAAATTACCAGATAAAGTTTACTTATTTGACAATGAGGTGCCTCTTTTACTTTTATAAAACAGTTGTTCATGTAACTTCCCCTGAGTTCAAGAAAAGTTAGGGGAGTAGAC